GTATCTAATTCGCTTTTAAATTTACTAATGTTTTCCATTTGTAGTTCTTGTTTCTTTTCTTGTTCCAGTTGCCACTGCTGTAGTCTCTCTTCTTGTTTATGTTCTTTCTCCTCCAACAACTGCTGTAATCTTTCTTGTTTATTTTGTTGTTCCAGATGCCACTGTTGCAGGTTTTCTTGCAACTGCTGTTGTCTCTCTTCTTGTTTCTTTTCTTTTTCCTCCAACAACTGTTGTAATCTTTCTTGTTAATTTTGTTGTTCCAGCTGCCACTGTTGCAGGTTTTCTTGCAACTGCTATTGTCTCTCTTCTTTTTCCTCTAACAACTGTTGTAATTTCTCTTCTCGTTCTTCTTGTTTCTTTTGCTGTTCTTGTATTGCTGCCATTAAGTCTGCTAGGCTGTAGTTTGATTTGCCGCTTCTCGTTTCCATTTTTTTTTTATCCCACTCTCTGACACCAGTTTGTTACGTCTCCGTTTGTTAATTGATTTCCCGTAAATCCGTTCCGACGAAACTTTAGCGACACAAGTCCTTACTTAATAAAACTGGTTTATTCTTTCCGAATATAACTTTACGATACACTTAATTTCAACAATCGCGCTAAAACAACGAACGTCTCACGTGCTCGACTCAACAATACTCTGTCCGCCGTTCAATTACACATTGTTACCGTCACGTTGTGACCGTCTTATATATACAAGACAACTCCATATCTAGTAGTCTCCCGACACTTCATGAACGTTCTAAAAGCGCGTGGCGTGTTACTAGAGTCACGTGACCTCCGCTGTCGTAACAAAACCCAGGGCAAAATCCTGAGAGCTGTGAATAAAGGGAAAAAAAGGGAGATAGCATTGACAGAAGCTGTGCTCTACGAGTTTCATTTAAAATTAACCAAGGACACTCATAGAGTACTGTGGGACAATTTAGATTCGTAGTAGATAAAAACCAAACTCCAACTATATGAAGTACAACTTAATTTTTATCACGGCCTGGGTTGGTAAAAACTAGATTGAATCTTTCTCATTTTAAAAAAAAAAGGGAGATAGCATTTACAGAAGCTGTACTCTACGAGTTTCATTTAAAATTAACCAAGGACACTCATAGAGTACTGTGGGACAATTTAGATTCGTAGTAGATAAAAACCAAACTCCAACTATATGAAGTACAACTTAATTTTTATCACGGCCTGGGTTGGTAAAAACTAGATTGAATCTTTCTCATTTTTAAAGTATTTCAACATTTAAGACTATAACGAACTTTTAGTTATTAAAAAAAAAGAGTTTGTTCAATGTTTTTCATCTCTTAAAAATATTTATATTTGTATATCTTTTTTTTAATTTTTTGCAATGTCAAGCTATATAAATTAGTTTTCGAGATCTCAATCTAAAATAATAAAGGTTTTGAAGTTAAATAATTGATTACGTCTCGATTTGTGACACTCTATTGCTCAAATGAAATATCTGATAACCAATATGCAAATTTTGTTTACAGTAATATTTTATAGCAACTCTAATTTTTTCCCAGTAGAAGTTTTTCCTGGTACATTATACAAGGTACGGGGTGTCCGAAAAGTCTGGAACCATGGATTATTTGCAGCTTTTCTTAATTTCAGATACGTGACTGATTATGGCGCTGTTAAAAGTACTAAAAGGTCGAGTTAATCTTGCTATTAATTCAAACTTATTTCGAATTACAGGGACAGCACGTGGAACACATTCTTTAAAATTCGTTGAAGTACCTAGAAGTTATTATCAAAAAGTTTATTAATGGCCCAGATTTTTCTTTACATTTATTGTTAGTATAAAATGGGCAAGAAATAACATACTTTCCGTATACGCGACCCGGCATGGCCAGGTGGTTAGGATGCTCGACTCGCAATGTGTCACACCACACCCTTATAATGTGACGGTCAATCCCACTATTCATTGGTAAAAGAATAGCCCAAGACTTGGCGGTGAATGGTGATGACTAGCTGCCTTCCCTCTAGTCTTACACTGCTAAATTAGGGACGGCTAGCGCAGATAGCCCTTGTGTAGC